GGAGCCACCAAGGGGTGCTTGGGAGGGACCATGTTCCCACAGGGAGAGGTGGGGCGGGGAGCAGAGTCCTGAGAACAGACGTGGGGCAGGGTTCCTGAGTGCCCTGCGGACCTGGGCCAAGGGGCAGAGAGTCGGGAGAAGGAGTGGGTCCCCTGGGGTGGGAGCAGGGAGGAAAGGTGAGACCCCTGGGGGTGGGAGGTCGGGGAAGAAGGGGTGAGACCCCTGCGGGTGGGAGGTGGGGGAAGAAGGGGTGAGACCCCTGGGGATGGGAGGTGGGGGAAGAAGGGGGGAGACCCCTGGGGGATGGGAGGGCATGGCCAGAGGCCTGCGGGTGGCACTGACTGGGCAAGAGCCTCCTTCTGTCCCAGCTCAGGCTGCACTGGGGCCCTGAGCTCAGAGTGAGCCCTAACGCATGTGACTTCCTCCACAGGGGACACAGGCGAGAAGGGAGACAAAGGTGCACCGGGACGGCCTGGACGAGTAGGCCCCACGGGAGAGAAAGGTACCTGCCGCCCCTCAGCCCCCAGAGCTCGGCAGGCAGGCCCAGCTCCTGCAGGAGCCACTGGGGTTGGGGGAGCCTGAGGGGTCTCTGGCTCCTGGGAGGGTCTCAGAGGCGGAAGGCCTGGAGAGGGGAGGGCACGGAGAGGGCTCTTTAAATGGTGCTCCTTGGTTGCCAAGAGCCAGGAAGTGGAGTTCTCTGGAGGTGCCCAGGTGGGGTGGCCCTGAACACAGAGCTCAGTGCTTGTGCATCCCTCTGGACCGTCGTCTGTGAAGTGGGGCTCGTTTGTGAGTGTTACAACTATACATGCAAGTGTGAGGGTGTGCAAGCAGCTGGGGGTGGGGGGTGGGGATGTAGGGGCACGAATGGGATAGAGGAGTGTGAATGGGGATGGAGGGGTGCTGGTGGGGATGGAGGGGTGCTGGTGGGAATGGAGGGGCCGGAACAGCGGTGGAGGCGTGCAGGCAGTGGAGAGTGGGGACAGGCGGGTGTGCGAGCTTACTCAGTGTATTCCCATTATGTTTAAGGGAACCTCATCATTTGGAATCTGTTTCTACATTAGTGACATAGTGCGATTCCTGCCGCCTGGGATGTGTGGAGGCTTACAGGAAATGGATCATAGTGGCCAGGTGGTAAACTGTAGATGTTCAACGAATGGTGTTATCACCAGGATATACTGACTTTTGCTGCTTTAAAATTTGTTAACAGGTCATTAAAAGCTGTCTGTAAAAGTGTTTTGTTAGTATTTACACACGATTCTGAGAATCTATACTGAGATTTATGGAGCCAGGCCCCTAAGAATCTCCTGACACTGGAGAGTTGGGTTGTTTCCAGTTTTAAAAAAGTTGTCATAACAACGCAAAGGTCATTGAGTGTCTGTCCTTAAGCCAGGGCCCACTTCTCTGCCCTCTGGGATGCAATTTGTGCTCATTCTGTCAAGTGCACTGTCACCAAGTCTGAGGCTGCTCGTGCCTGGGAAGCCCCATCACAGTCCAGGCCAGAGCTATTCTGTCTGTTCCCTCTGCTGTCCACCCTTCCACCCCAGGCATGAATTTTATTTTTAGTTTTTCCTTTACTCATAAAAAAAATAATTAGAAATGCAAATTAACTATTCTCCTAGTTCAGATTTCAAAACGTGCAGAAACTGCACAGTGACAAGCCCCTTCCTGTGCCCCCCGACAGCCGCTTTCGTGCCAGTCCTTCTTTACAGAGAGAGTGTAGGAACTGGCAAGAAATGTGTACGCTGTTTCTCTGCTTTTGCACAAGTGGCTGCATGGTCTGTGTGTGTGATTTCACTCTGTTCCCTCAGCAATGTGCCTGGGGCTCAGCCTGTGTGGGGCGGACACGTTTCCTCAGCTCCTGCAGTGGTGTGGTATCCATGGCACGAGCACCCCACGCTGCAGCCAACTGGTCTCTCGTTACTGCAGCCCAGCACGTTCCTCGGGCTGCTGCAGAGAACATTCTTGTGTGTGTCACTATTAACATGCATGAGGGGGCATGGAGACAGGCTGCTAGCCATGTGACTGCTACATCAAAGTGCCCGCTCGTCCTGCAGAAGAGCGGGCCGTACCCGTGGCCTTCCACGGAGTGTGAAGGGCCCGACCGAAAGCTGCCAGCTCTCTGGCAGCCACAGGCACCTCCACATGGGTGGGTTCACTTTGTCTCTCTTCTATGAATGAAGTAGGTCACGTTTTGATTTGTTTAAGTCACTTGTGTTATGTTTCTGTCTTTTTGTCGCCTTGGGGTTGTTTCTCTTTTTTAACGAAACTCTTCTGGGTCCTTCATCTCCTGGGTGTGCACCATACTCTTGTACTCGCACTTTCTGTGCCTATCTCTGAATATTTCTTTAGAATAAGTTACCAGAAGTGGAGTTAGGAACTTTAAGAAAGGCCATCAATACGTATATTCTTAGGCCGGTCCATGTGCTTCCCACCCTAAAGGAACAGTCTTCCCCTGTCTTCATGAAAGTGCCGCCCGTGTTTGCTCAGAAAATGTCCGGGTGCGTGAGGCGGGGATGCCGGGCCCGGAGGCCCCTGTGGGAGCAGTGTGGGTGTCAGGACGGAGGCAGCACGGCTCCCTGAGATGACGCTGAGCCAGAGGCTGGCAGCAGCGGCTCCATGGCCTGCGTGTCTCCACGTCTGTGTGGGCAGTGACATCGCCGCTCCATCAAGTCTCTTGGTTATAAAGCGTTTAAAGTATCTTAGAATTCAAGTACTTATTACTTGTGCTCGATCAGTACGCTTCTCGTAACAGCTGAAAGTGCTCTAGATATACTGTGTCACTTATTTTATCATCGAACTAAATAATTCTGAAGTTCACAGTGATGAAGCGAGTCCCACTATTTTCTCGTGTGGATGATTTCGCGTTTCACGACTAGGAAGCGGTCAGCTCCCCTATTCTGGACGGTCACGAGTTCATTTGCATGATGCCCTTTCATCGATGGTTTTCAAAGTGATGGTGTCTGGGCTCCGTGTACAAGTGTCAGCGCCCGCTTCTTGCCGATGCGGCCTCTCGCCCGCTGTCCGCGCTGCGTCGCCGCCCTTCTCTTACTCACTCTGGAAAGGCGGTGCCAGCCTGCAGTGACTGTCGATGCTTGGCACACCTTGTAAGTCTCCCGACGGAATGAATGGCGCTGGGCAAGGAAAGAGCCCGGCTCGTTGCATTTTCCTATCACTGAACTGCTGGATCAGGCGTCTGTTAGGTGCTGAGCACTTGGGAGAAGGCAACCTGGAGCCGCAGAGCCCAGCGGAGGAGACACATGGACGCATGAGGGTAAACCGAGGCGGAAAGCAGCGGGCAATGTGGGGCTGAATTTGGGCTGGACTGAGTAGCTGCCTTGTGTCAGAGTTTTCCAACATATAACAGTAACAGCCCCTCATAATAGAAAATCATATCTAAAAGCAGTGAGATAGCCACTTATTTCCCTTTTGTAAATGTAATTATATTGTTCTATAAGTTGACATCCTATTTCTTAAATTTAATGTTATATTTTAGTGTCAGCATTTTTCACGGATGCTTGATGTCTATAGGTGACTTATGGTTCCTCCTGAGTGGTGTGTTCTGGAGTGGAGTCACTGGGGGTCAGGGCAGGGGAGCTGGCTGTTCATAGCCCCACCTCAGCAGCCTGGGCTCCACCTGGGCACGCCAGTCCCGGAGTCGCTGAGTGGTCATTGGTTTATTTGGTGTTGGCATCACTGAGGACGGAGCGAGCAGCTTTGATTCGGGGCCTTTGCTACTTGGCAGAATATAGAGAGCAAGTCAGCCCTAGCAGGGTGATTCCGGTTATTGAGTAGTGGGCATAGTTAACATAGAAATCTAGGAAATCTCCTTTTTGGGTGATCTTTAAGAAGAGGATCGGCCGTGATGTGATATGATGTGTGAGAATAAAACAGAAGCAGAAATAGTCATACGGTTGATTAAAGTAGTTACAGAAAAAGACAGAGAAAGGATGGAAAAGAAATGCACTGAGATAGAAGTGAACATTTCTGGGTCATAGCATTATGGATGTTTAGATGTTCTTTGTTCCTTTCTTTGTTTTTTGGTGTCCCAACAGTGGGCAGGCACCACATCGTGGATGTCAGCATGTCTTTATACAGGTGGCCGGAGCTGTGGCCAGGCCCCTGGGCAGTGTGGCTTCCCCAGAGGCCCAGGCATCTGTAGCCTCTGGGCGGCTCCCCGAGGCATCTAGGTGCTGATGGCCTGGGCTTGTCCGTCCTCGGTCCTGGAGAGTGGTGGCTGATTGCAGAGTGCTGGACCCGAGTCCCCAGCTGCGAAGTTGGGGTGAGCTGTGGTTGGGCCTTGGATGTGCAGGAGAGCTTCAGCTGCCCTGGACTGCTCGGGCAGGACTTCAGAGTTCTCCGCAGCAGGGGTCATGGGCCCTCACCTGGGCGAGCTCCTCACTGCAGCCTCCATGAACACAGGCTGCGTCCCTGTGGGGCCCGGCTGCAGGTGGGACTGCCTCCTTGGCCCATGTGTGGGGGTCTCAGGGTGGCACACAGAGCAGCCTCTGCTGTGGGGAGCAGCAGGAAAAAGTACACGCAGGCTGACGGGTTGCCTTCTGAAATAATAATTAAAGTCTCGCTGGTGGGTCCCCCAGAAGCCCTGTGCTGTGCTTTGTCCTTGATTGAAGCAAGAACAACTCCCACATTTGCAGCCTACGTAGCTGTGTGGTGATACTACACCACCTGCTGGGATCGGTTAGCTCAGCTTTCCTGGCTTCTTGTCCCCAGAATGCAGCCAGGACAGGATTAGGGGGGCCCCTCCTGGCACAGCTCAGGGGGTGAGAGGCGCTCTGGGCTCTGGAACGTGCGTGTTGCCCTTCACTAAAAATCACAGAGGAAGCTGCTGTCCAAGTGCCCTTCCTGCCCAGCTCTACTGCAGAGGGCTGTGTCGTCGTCATGACAGTAAGACTTAGCTGCCGCTGTGAGCGTGTTCCTGGTGCTTGTCTGGAGGGCAGGTGTGTGCTGCATGTCGTGTTAGTGGGGCCTCGCCCGGCAGGCAGCCTCCGCTGGCAGGGCCTGCACCCTAACGGGGCAGGGTCTCAGGGTGTCCAGGGCATGTCCACCTGTCTCCCACAGCAGGGGAGGGACATGTGTTTGCTCCGGGCTGGAGGCACAGGAAGGCCTTGGAATCACGCAGAAGGCAGCAGAGCCCTTGTTCTGATCCTCGCTTCTGAGAACCTCTGGGCCTGTGACCACACTGCTTTCTGCCCAGGCGCTATTTTCCAGGACGTGTCTGCAAGCTAAAACAAGCTGGGTGGATGGCTGTGGGATTTGAATGTTCTCACTTTTCTCCTCTCTAACATGCCCAAAAGGGAATATTTCTGTTAGACAGAATATTTTACCGTGGAGACAGATCTCAGGTGTGAGGGGTCACGGTGCCAGGTGCGTGTGCTGTGCTGCTCTGGTGGTCTGGATTCCACTCTGCTTAGCTTACAGCTTTACACCCTCATGTGGAGTAAGGATAAAGGATATGCTGGCGTATGTGCATTTGCAACTGTATGT